CCCGTAATATTGTCTTAAATGTGTTAAGCATAAATTAATGAAGATCTAAATAGTGATAATTACATATACTCCTCGTATCATTTTCGAAAATTGATATTCTACATATAAAATATTCATGATAACATGTTTTTTACCATTCTTCGTTATTACCCGTGCTTCAGTACTTTAATGCGCTCTAACTGATATTAAATAAATAAATTCATGAATTACTAATGAATGAAAAACGATCAAAATACGAACATCGCCACTCCTACTCAGACACAAGCGTGTAGACAGCCTCGAGGAGAAAGTGCAGCAAAATAGATTGGCCTTATTAATGAAGTTCACAGTGTGTCTGATCTGTCTCGCTAATTTTCAGAAACTGTTTATTTGAAACTCGTTAGAAGATTCAGCATCTTTGAGTGGAAAGTAGGTGCGTTATGCTAAAATGCAATCTACCAATTTCCTTTATCTGAATATTAATATTGTATTTACTGTAAAACTTTAAAGGTTGCTTTAGAAAGCAATCGGGTTTTTTGATATGTACTTCATATTACATACGTTTCAAATTTTATTCGATGTTCACAGTATTTTTGTTAACTAGATGTTTTCAGCGCACAAACATTTTGTTAAATTCGAAATTTAATTGTTATTATATTTAATTATTAATTGTTATTATCCAAGCTTTATTTACATAATTTTAATTTCACTTTTACATATAAATTACTGTTAATTTAAAGCTTTTCGTACTTCTTTTGCGAAGGACGTTTCCTTTCAAAAGTGCAAATAATATTCAAAATTTCTCTGCTTCATTTAATTCAATCAATATTTTTTTGAAAAAAAGGCATATTTTGATAGCCATTTCACTTTACATTAGTAGTATGTTTTACCATATACATTTTTCTTCTTATTAAATACGATAAATATCTCTCAACGTCCCAGATTTTGAACCTAGATAATTTTTTTTCCTATTGCAAGAGAGAGAGAGAGCTGAAAAGGTACAAAGTAAATAATAATAATAATAATAAAAACTGTCAGCTATTTAGTAAAAACCTTAATGGGACTTCAAGAAACTATATTATTGTAAATTGAAAACTTCGCTAAATAATAATTTATTAATATTTGATGTAATTTTCAAGTCATTATAGATTAATATTTGATAAAACATTTTATCAAATATTATGTTATTTAATTTATATCAATAATATCTCTTTGTAATGTGGCCGAAAGAGAAAAAAAAGAGAGTTTCAATTTTCTGTTAATGTACGTAGGAATCTAAATTAATTTTAAATTTGAAAAAAAATTATTAATTACTATTTTTATACTTATTCTATCCTATGCGTAATGGTTCACAACGCAAATAACTGTTGATTTAATTGACTGCTTATTTCGCTTTGAATGTTTACCTAGTGTTTGAATGTTTACCTAGTTTATTTACAGCGAAATTCAGTAATTAAGTTGCACAATCCAATTACAAAATGACCTAGAAAGGCACTCACATGAAAACTGCTTTTAGATCTCAACATATTCTTCATAATTATTTATACACTTGCCCCATCGTTTTGTCAATGCTCCAATACAAGCTGAGTGAAATTCTTTGGGCTGCTGTCTCAGCCATATCAGGACTTCATTTTGAACATCGTTGTCATCTGCATTGGTTCGCTTGTGCACGGTTTTATGCGATAAACGGAAAACATTCATTTGTGTATCACACTCATTTTCTTCCCCCCGAAAAACGGATGCAGCTCCTTTTTTGCACAATCATCGAGTTTCTTCGACATTTTTAAAACTGAACTGCGTATGTGCAACTGGTATATAATAACTACCAAAATGAATGTAATGAACTACGCCAGTTCTGCCGATTAGTTTAATCTTTCCAGTATTATATGTAATTGATTCAGATGAAAACACAAATGAAATCAGCTGTACAGATCCAAGCACATATTAAATATGTATACAATAAGACTAAATTTGAACTATGCATATCGTTCATTGACAAATTCTGTGCAAAAGATTACGCTAAACATTATATACTGTACATTTCATGAACATAAGTTTCATGTTTAGAAATGTACAGTATGTGCGCGAAACATTACATACTGTACGTTTCTAAACATTACATACTGTACATTTCTAAACATTACATACTGTACATTTCATTTTCGAACATCATTGTTTAGAGTCCCAGTGCTATTCCAGTACGTCTTTAAGTATTAAGTGCTGGTGCATGAAATTGTTAGCAGTTCTAAATCTTGTTATGGCGAAGTAAAAGCTATACTCGAATTAAGCAGAGATGTTAAAGAATTACAAATGTCGGCAGGTCTTTCCAGACAGGTTTCTAAACAGGTTTAGCCCGAATTCTGAGGCGATTTTTAGGAAATTTAGAAGGTTTCTAACGCGCGTACATCACCTCTTGTGACCTTTTTTTTGGTGGGAGTACCTTAAATCCGTTGTATACTGCTGGCGTAACAAAACTAAGTTTCTTGAAAGGGAGCATAAGATAGGCTGTTGCAAACATCCTAACTGCCAGTTTATGCTCATCAGTAGAGAATGTCGTAGACCGGATGCATTGTCTTGTACACAATGACATCGAAAATTTTGCATATGGTTCAAGGAGTTCAATATTGGAGTCAAGGAGACTCCAATATTGATTAATAAAAGTTAATTTTCTGTAAGTTTGGTTTTGTGTATCATTCATTTCTCTATATGCGTGTTTTATTGCTGAAGCATTAATAAAATTCTGTGCAATCCTTTTTCCGCATATTCACTGTAATTACTGAATCGTCTTCAGTTTCGACAACGCCAAAATTTCTCATAACGGAGACTTATGGTACTAATTATTTTTCCCAGAATTCATCTCCCTATACCTTTCGGTGGAGTACATAAAATTGGGCTTTTAGTTTCAACTGCAAATTCCTTCCAAAGTTATTTTACAACCACCCTGTAAATTATATAATGTATTCGCAAAGAGTTCTTGAAAATTGTTTAATAATTTATATTTCGGGCTCCAGTAAATCATGGCATATTTATTATAGACTCAAGAAGCAAAACTTGTCAATAGTCAATGCATGCATGACTTTGAAAATGTGCATGTAAGGCATATTTTTAACCAACCGTTTCTTAATATTTTATTAACAATTAAATTTAATTAATTTAATTACATTTAACTAAAAATCCATGAATACAAAAACTGAATAATCAAAAACGCTTCTTGTAAATTGTATGCATGAGCTATGAAAATCACAAATAATCATAGAAAACTAAGGAAATTCTGCAGTGGTTGGAGTCTATGTATTACTATAGTAACTTCCTTCTGAGTTGTCACCTACTGTGCTTTGTGGCTGTTAGTCAGTAATAAAACACAAACTACAATATCTTATATTATATTTTCCAATAATCTAGAGCTCCTTTCCTTAGTTCTATTTACTGCGCATATCCTCTTAAACGTGGCATATTTCTTTTCTACGTAGATTTATTTATTTGGTGCCATTTGAAAGCCCGATGACACAAAGAATTATTTTATTACTCTGCATTTGCTTTTGTGTTGTGACTGGTAGCACGTCGAACTAGCGTTATAAAATTCGTGGTCTGAGTTCCACAGACAATTGATTTATCACGCTTTCTGCCCCGTAACGGATGCTTTATTTGAGTCCTGAACCGAAATTCCACTCTTAAATTTTGTTGATTTAAAAGTAAGGAAAAAAGGATATAAATTATGACTTCCAATTTTTTGAATAAAACATTGCTGTTCTCTCTTTTTCTTTTTGGAACTCTGTAAGCAAGGTTTGTATTTTATGATATTTGAGCCAACCCTGACAAAAATCAGCATTATTCCATTTTTTGAATGTCTAATGGCAAATTACAGAGACAAATGTAGACAGAACAGGCAAAGATGAAAGAGAACACAAAAACTAAAAAAGGCTGTACAGTATAATCCATAAATCTGTTTTGTGTCTTGTCTCCCAATATCTCTCCTAGAATGATCCAGCATTGAGGTAGGGCAACGACTCAGATATGAGGTATCCATTTGCTTATGAAGATTGCACAATTTACTAATTGTGTATGGGTTTTAATTCGAAAACTTGTTTCCGCTTTTTACTTTCGTTTTCGGGGAGTTGTAAATCATATACTAGGACATCAGAATTTCCTTTTTTCTGTTAGTAATGGTTGGTGTTGGTGTTGGTGTATTTAATTATGGCAAAGCACACTAGGGCTATCTGCCTAAGGGCAGGGATGCCTTCGTGGAGGACTTTCTAAGGGAAACTGGCTCGTATACTCGTTACACATGGGGAAAACCACGAAAACACCCATGCAGCTAGCCCGTTCGCGGGATTCGAACCTCAACCCGAACTACCAGTGTTAAGCGACTTTACCGCTCGGCCGCTGGTGGGCTTCTGTTAGTAATGATCGGCGTAATTAGGCTCTGAGACCTCTAGTAACGTAACTAGTCGCTGCAGGTTTCAAGTTCTCGAAATATGTCGAAAGCGAAATGCATTCTCATTGTCACCAGACGAGTAACAGGTGCACACTTAAAGTTTTAAGTAGAAATTTAGAAATCAGATTTTGTCCTTAAATTGCTACTTTTCTGCTCAGTTGTCTTTTCTTCATATTTCATTGCGTAATTTTCAAAACACGACTAGTAGAAAAGATGCAAGTATATTCTTTCGTAAACGTTTCGTTCGTTTATGAAAGAATATACTTGCTTTCTGATATATCCAGCAGTCTCAATTTAGATTGATAGCAAATATAGAGTTTAGAAGTTTAGTTAGATTTTACCAAATGAATTAACGTGTTTGCTGTATATACGAATATATTTTTTTAAGTAAAATGTTTTTGCAATACATAAACTGTATTCGGGACAGAAACAGCCATACTATCATTCCTTATTCGATCATATATATAGATTGATCCATCATGAATTTCTGGTTGACAGAGGTTTTGGTTGCATAGTGTTTTCAAGGTAGATACAAATTGCGATACCGGATGTGTATTATCAATCAAGCGCAAGTAGAAAGTATAAAATGGACTTGTTGAAGAAAACATCGCGACTGGAAAGTAAGTTAACTAAATTTTCAATTCAAGTCTTACATCCAAGTCTTATGCGGGGCATCAACCTACACATCCATACCTTTCGAACCTACTACAGAGCAGCAAGAACCTCTCTACAATTAGGATGGTTAAACGATCATAGCGAAAGGTTTGTTAAATTGCTTGAACCTGGTAGTTGTTATTCGGTCTTCTAGTCAACAGCCTAATGAAAAAGAAATAAAATTTAAATTGTAATATTTTAGTTTACTTCAAAGCGGTATTGATGGGCTGCTGGTCATAAAAAATCATAAATTCACTTTCTTTTCAAAAACGATTAAATCCGTTTCTGCAAATGTGCAGTGCTATTTTTCTTGAAAAGCATTATTATTAATATGGTTTCAGAGCGACCTTTTTCCCCAATTATGACAATTTTTTATTCAACTTTGGTGCTATTTTTAGTCAAATGTAAATAAAATTTACAATATACATACCACTGCAATAAAGCAAGTGAAAAAAAAAAACCTTTTAAGAAAGAAAATTTAGCACGCTGGTAATAACTTTATTTGTTTATGGAAAATACAGTGACGAAAGGAAATAAAGGAGCTGTTTTTTTCCTTTTAAATGATATGCGAAATCCCATAAATTTACTTTTTATGTTTCCTAATTATATGTAATAAATGGTTCTTCAAGTATGTTTACGTAATAAATCAAATAATTTTATGTACGTTTTTAAATCTCATATTAATCAGTTTCATATTGAGTAGACCCCTTTGTAAGGAATTCTCATCGAGCTAGAATTTGGGCAATACGCAGTTTGAACCCAGGCGAGAACACAGTTGAGTTTTTCACATTTCTGCTCCGAAAACCGTAATATAAACTGCAATTTGAGTAGTTATGAATTGTACAATGAAACCTATTTCTATCTAAGATGTAGTTGAAGCTTCAGCAAAATAGCCCAATGAAATAAAATAGCACAAAATAAAACAAAATAGCACAATGAAAAATGTAAAGAACAATCCAAAAATGAGATTACAGTTCTAACTTCTTAAAGAATTTACCAATAAAACTGCAAAACACTAAAATATTATTCGATGCTTTAAGAATAATAAAATTTTAATTTTAAAAATTTGTAATCTTAACCTAATTCCTGTTTACAATCTAAAACAATCAAACCTGTTTCGATTAGCCTACTAGTCAAAATTAAACTCCTATAAATTCAAAATAGAAGACAAAAAAGGGACAACAAGGAATGAAAAACAAAGTACCGCGAGCCAGGTTTAAGAAATTCTGATATATTAGTTTATGATTATGGATAAGTATTGAAATTCCAACTAAAACAGTAAAGGATGAACAATCATTGATTTATTCGTACGCATTTAACATTCATTCATTTTTATTTACTACTTTGAAAACCAGTCATTGATTACCTATGAAAATAGAGGATAGATTTACTTGTAAGTTTAATGCATTGTTGTCTTTATCAGTTCTTATTGCTATACTTTGTATTACTCCGATTATTATTTTATAACAGCTATTTGAAATAAGTCTCTTGTAATTAAGAATTTATTGTGCATTTTTCATTGAGTAAAATCATAGCGCTGTTTTGAAATTCCACTTTGAGTAATCTCTGTATTCTAGGGAACATGAAAGAAGGAGAGACAAAGAATCAGACAGTTGCAGAAGTTACAGAAGAGCTAAAAGATCCACCTTTGACAGGGGCTGCTAATATCTTATTGGAGAAGAAAGTTGCATGGAAAATTATCAGAATAATAATTATTATTTTATTTATGTCGCTGTTTACTTACAAGCTGTGCGAGTTCCTGACTGAGTACTTCAAGTATACAACGGTGGAAACTTCGAAATTTCTGGGTTCCATGTACGCAAATGAAAGCATATTATTTGTGGTCCCTGGTTTAGTTATCTGCAATAAGAACCCGTAAGTAAATATAATCTTTGGAATAAGTATTGCATAAACAATTTCAATAATAGCTCATATTTGGTAATTTCCCGCCATTTTCCCATTTCGCTACATAAATATATTTTTACAATTAGATGAATTATAAAAAACTGAGTAATATTTGAAAAATATTGTAGACCTTTTTCAATATAAAAGTGTAAAACAAATTAGGAAAATGTAATAATACTGTTTGCGAGCAAAAGAATGATTACAGTGAAAACTAACGAAAGGTATCTAAAACATCTGCAGCTGACATGATATTTTTATAAATCTCAGATGCAAAACACGAGGCATCCAGCAAATCGACGTAGTTTAAGAAACTCTCAGATTATTGTACATCATTAGAAACTGAAATTTTTACTTAAAATGTGAGTTACGGTTTCTCTGATAAGCATCTGGAGAAACATTAAGTGTCAAAAGTAAATTTAAATTAAGTAAATTTGTTCCTATTTTTAAACACAACTGCTTTATTCTGTGGCTTGATGATGCCGACTCGTGTAGACAGAAACATTTTCGGCAAAGGCTTAATCGGAGATAAAATCTGCATTTTTAAAAAGTAGATCAGAACATTATAAAAAACTGTAAGAAATACACTTCTGCTCTAAACTATAACGAGCATCTATAAAGATCAATCCCAGCAATATAGTATTGTTTCAAAACAGCATCCCTACCGCCATATTTATTTTACGGTTATAAATTAAATATTTCATGATTTTCATTGATTTTGATTATAAATTTGTTCTTGATGGGTTTTTTTTATTATGCAGAGGAAATAACTGGTATTTTGCAACTGCTCGAAATATTCAGCTCTATTATTGAGATGTGTGACATATGTATTTTAAGACATGTCAAGTCCAAATAACGAATACGACAAGTACAGTAAGAGCCCGCTTAACGCGGGGGATACGTTCCATCAAAGTAGAGCGTAATGCGAACAGCGCTAAACGAGGCTATCTTTACATGTAAATATTAGAATTAGGGGAAGATGGCTAGGAAATTGGTTAGGTATTAAATTAAAAAAGTATGTTTTCTTAATAAAAATAAAACCAAACATTTATTTCTTAAAGCCCAAATTAATACCACATTATTATTTCTTGCAAAAATAAAAACAAAATATAAATAACAAAACGAATATTCTTAAAAAAACAAATAAAATTCTAAGTCAGTCATATTTAGTTAGCCTTCCGCGTTTTCAGTGTTCTGCCTTTTTGTGACAAAAGCATCTAATGTTGTTTGCCTTTTTCTTTTGCGTTGTTCTCTTAAAAGTTCTTCATAAACGGATAGAGCATCTCTAACACCACGCCTTACTTTTGAGCTCCTGTCAAAATTCGGATCATTTTCAATGAATTGATCCATTATTTCAGTTATGATAGACAAACTCCTTTTTACAAACGCCATCGAAAGTTCTTTTTGCTCTTCTTCTGAATCACTGCTGTCAACATTTTTGTTTTCTTCTTGTTCAGTTAATTCCTTGAGATCATCATTAGAAAGACTAGCCGCTGCTTCTTGAATTATTTCTTCGACATCTTCCCCATTTACCCCTTCAAAATATGTCTGTACAATACCGCACCAAACAAGAAATACAAGTACACTCTTTCGGATATGTATTTGAAACCTATCGCTGCATAATATTTCGGGGAATCCCCGTATGCTGCGAGCGATTTCGTGGAATCCCCGGGTTGAAATAAAAGAGCGCTAAACCGAAACAGCGCTAAACGAAACAGCGTTAAGCGGGGTCTTACTGTATTTAGAAAGCTTCAATAAGCATCCTTAGTGTCCTGCTGGCCCAATGTTTTCACCAAAACTCGAAATCCAGTACGCTGTTCCACGGTTAGAGTTGAAAACTAATTTAATTTATTTGTTCATAAAGCTTTTTAAGTTTTTCAATGCTTCTGTCATTTGCATTCTCTGTTTGTTTTTTAATGATTTTTCCGTATTTACGTATTATCCTGTCGACCTTAAAATTTGGCTGCAATCGAAATATGAAAGTTGGCGATATTTAGCCCATTATATTTTCTGAAATCTGAGCCGCACTTCCCTCTACAACTCTTACAATAAAACATTCATCAATCTTTTTACACAATCCAAAAACAGAGATTATTATTTGAATAAAGAATTATCATCTGCTACATTTAAATTTATTCTTCTTTCAAAATGTCGCACGTAAAGACGCTGCGAATTGAAGGATATGTTTCTGCGCTTTTCAAAGAGAAATATTTTTATTCCATAGTTTAAACGTGTTGTGAAATGTATGGTATTAAAATTTCTGAATGCAAACAACCAATATTAAGAGGAAAGATAAAAACCGCCAATCATCATTTTTACATGGAAAAAAGACTGCAAATGAATACTGGTAGATAAGTACTCATTCTAAAAGTTAAATCGTTGGTAACAAGAGAAAATCCGCCAATGCAGAAGCCAATTATCAATTCTTTCTATACATCTGAAGAAACATTAAAAAAAGTAATAATAAATAACGAGTCAAGATTTACGAATTAAAAAAGCTAAAAACCATAATGTCCATCAGTTTTTGTCGAGGCATGTGGCTCAAAGCGGAACAATTTGTAGAACCCTGTATGAAAACAATTTAGCAGGAGATAAATAAAAACTCATTGTGCGTTGCAACTTTCGGCAATGCTTGTATGGAACATGAATTTATCCAAACGCCTGACCCGAAAAAGAGCTATTTAATATCGAAAACGAAGAGTAAAATTGCATAGACTTGGTTCCGTCAAGGTAAAGAAGTTTTAAATAAAATGTTTTTGATTACAAACCTTTGTTTCCCTTACAAGTGGAAATTAGAACTAAGAAAATTAGAAAACAATGATAAAATCAACTCAGCATATTATCAAGAGAACATTCTACGTCCAATATTTAAATTAAAAAATTTATTCCAGGACTTTCAAAGAGGAAAACTTTATTAAGACAAAGCAACAAGTCATACTTCCAAAAGTAACACTACGTTCTTTGAAATAAATGAAGACTGAGGCACGTACTGCACATGTAACTTTTTCAAAGTATTTCTGCGAAGTCTCTTGATGTTTCGCTTCTGAAATATTGTGCCTTTGGTTTCTTGAAAAAAGCTTTTTCTATGTGCACACCCAGGACGACTGACTGACTGGAAGTAGCGGGAAAGAAAATTAGTAGCTTTGTAAATTTTACGAGAGAGAGAGAGAGATTTTGTAAATTTTAAGAAATTTTGTTAATTTTACGAGCTTTGTAAATTTTACGAGAGAGAGAGAGATTTTGTAAATTTTAAGAGAAATTTACGTAATTATTTAAAATACGTAAATCTTTGTAAATTTTAAGAAATTTTGTTAATTTTACGAGCTTTGTAAATTTTACGAGAGATTACGTATCCTTCAATTCTAGCCTCGTAAACGCGATGCAAATAGATAGTCGACAAAAAAGGCTATCAGATCGAACTTTTTAAAAATTACTCTTTTTATTTTACGGATTCGTTAAACCGGCCAAAATGGTTCTAAAAATTTCGAAATATGCGCATCATGATATTAATCTTTTGACTAATATAATGCCATGTGTTTCCCATGGGATTTAATCCAGAGAGAGTAGTTAGCGAAACCATCCATCGTAAGGTTGAGTCGCATTCCTTAAAGCATAAGGTGTTCAGCTCTTTAAGTAACAGAACTCTCAAAATGCATGCAAAATAAATCATTTGAGTTTTCAACATTTTCTTTAAACAGACTGACTCATCGTTTTATTTTGCGCCTAATAGTTGAGCTCATTCACAGCTGTTAAAACAAACCCAAAGACGAAAATGCACGTAAAGTTTCTTTCGCAAGGTCTGTTTGAGTAAGATTAAGTTTGGATGCTTTTTAGATTTTTCTGTCGTCTTTGTGTCTTCATTCATTTGAATATCATATGACAGAGTCTTTTGGGTAAGCATCTTGTAAAGATCGTGACTTGTAAAGATCATGACTTGTAGAGACCGTGACTTGTAAAGATCATGACTTGTAAAGATCGTGACTTAAAGAGAACGTGAAATATAAATAATAGGACAAGAACTTGCATTTTACGATGTGGCAACAAGAAGAGGATTCGGAAGATTTTTATATATTTTGTTTAGAGAGTTTAGGATTTTGCGTTTTTTATTTTAATAGTTGTAAGAGTTTTAACTGTAGTAGTTAAGAGTTTAAAATTTTGATAGTTGAGAGCTGCAGTATTTATTTTTTTGGTCCTGTTTTAAAATTCAATTAAAAGTATTTTGTTCCTTCTGAAAATTTAGCTTTGTTCTTCCTACAAGATTCAATATCCATTATATTGAAATAAGGAAAGGATTTTTACTCTTAATGAAAACAGGACTGCCATATGTTAAGCTTAGCTCTTACATCTCGCATAAGCTAATCAGATATATTTTTCATTTTTGTTATGAACTTTTGCTCAGTCTCATTTTCACAAAGATTACTACTCAATTGCATATTCAGAAACAGATCCAAGGTTACCATTATTAATGGAGAGTAAGGAATTCAAAGGAACTGGGGACGGCTGATACGGACATCTGAAGTAGCAAGGATGGCCCTCTGCTATTCAGAAAGTATACGTCAGCACAAGGGTGACTTATAAATCTCGCTGTTTCCCAAATCATCCTTTGGAGAATCCTGTACTCAACCCGTCTGTATCAATAGCATGAGCAGATCGTGCAGCAGCTCTTTCCTCCTCATTATGCTCCACAAATTACATTTCCTGAAAGGTGCAAGCAGAAGTGTGTGTCGGAACCCTATTTTCAGGCTGCTATCGCATTCACCGAAAAGACGCACTTTAGCAGAGAAGATTACTTGCAACTTGGAGGAAGTATTGTTCGGATTGCTAGATAAACGAAGAATCTAGCAGTTGCAGCGCAGTGAAGTGAAATTTCAGCAGGATTTTGTCTCATCCCATTTGACTTTGTACTTTCGGCAATGCTTGTATTGAACATTCGGTCAAAGGAGGATTAGTCCTGGTAGTCGTATTCATTGGCTTGAACATTCACCGAACCTGTGCTGCCATGATTTCTTTCTGTGGGGTTACCTGAAAAGCCTGGTATACGAACTACATGTAGTCAGTGAGGAGGATTCTATAGTCAGTGAGGAGGAAAAAGCGTAACGCAGCTAGCTCGATGAAACGTTAGCCTTCCGGTATATTCCCAAAAAGTTCATGAAGTTCATGAATCCAAGCCTTGCCGGTTATTACTCTTGTATCGTAACTGGAGGCTGTAACTTCAGACGCTTATTGAGTTCTGAATATCGCAACTGTAACGGTTTGCTGTTTAAAATATTATTATTTTCACATCACCTGTTTCTTTCTTGTGTTGCATTCTCTCCTCGCTATTATATGAAGATTACGCCCCCACCTCTGTATTGCCGTGTAATTCCGAATCGCCTTTGAGCAACCTGCTCCTCCTTGAACTTTGTATAAGCTTAAGCGAATCATCCTGCATAACGCAAATAATCAAAATATTTAAATCAAACTCAAAATTATAACGTCGGAGAGAAGTACATTGTTTCAAACGCTTTGAAATAAAGCTGCAGGTGCCTAAATGTTTGTTCATGGCTTTTATACTTGCATTTAAAGTAATACTGTTACGATTTAGACGACAAATTATCATTATAGAATTTAAATGCTACACTGACACATAATAAAGCCAAATAATGACTTTTTATAACAGTATTTGTTATAAACTCGCATAATTTCCTATTTATTACAGTTTTACACTTCGGCAAACAATGCATAGATTGATTTTTTTAAAAAAGTATTTAAAACGCTTATTTGTTATTTTATATATCATTTGATGAACATTTAGGAGCGAGAAATATGGTATGAATTTTAGATTCAACTAAATAGTATATAAAACGATTTAATACACGATATCGTTTTCCTTAATTCATCATTTGTTTTTTTTATTTAGTGCGCCCAGGCAGGAATATTGCGTAAAACACCCTTTCAAGTGCGAAATACCAGACAACAATGAAGAATTCTGTTATAAATATCCTCATTATTGTCAAAATTCCAAGCTTCCTGAAGGTTTTAGGGTAAGTGGTAAATTTTGCATTTATTTGTATTTTTTAAAGTTCCTGAAAGTGCTTATAAAAGTATTTCATATTTAAAGTTCTAAGAATTATTTATACTTACAGTTTTAAGAATATTTTAGTTTGCAATGCAAAACAACTAATTTGTGGTCTCCATTTCCAGTTGCTTCTTTCAGATATATTTTTATAACGATAACGTCCAATTTTTAATCTCTGCTATTTGACAGGAAAGTTAGCTTGTAGAGTCATTAGGTTTATTGATGCAGGAGACGTGGAAAAATGTGCAATGCGCTTGGCGGGATTCGAACACTGAACCTTCCGACTGCTAGCCAGACGTGCTATCCAGGTACACCGGAAAGCCAAAACAGTAAGAAGCGTGAAAATCCCTTACAAATTCTTCTGATGTACTTTAACTATGCATTTTGAGAGTTGCTAATGAACAGACATATCTTCTAGCACTAGGAATAATCACTGCAGTAGTGCAGATTTCGAACGGCAGATAACAATAGAAAAACAAAACAGATGCATCATACAGCATGTTGGAATACTTACCGAGAATATTATCATCCATAACAAGTCGCATAACATTAGTACATAGCTTGAGCTCCTGATACTTCAATATTCACTGCCTCATATTTCAATACTCGTTGTATTATAGCATTAAATCCCACACTGTTCAAACGTTGTATTGGTTTATTTTCTTTTTCTACTCGTGAAGTCGCTAGGCTCCCTCGATAATATACGGGGATGTTATGGACAAGTGAAGTGCAACTTTTTCCTGAAAATTTTGTCCTGATTTTGGGGATTTTGCGGGAATGTAGGGTCTGCGTGGTTTAAAACGAAGGTGCACGCTTGCAAAAATCTCGATTTCTCGACTGCGGTTGCCTTGTTGGTTCATCTGGCGTTCTGCGTGAGCTTTGAGCTCGGAGTGAGTACAATGGAGGATTATCTACTTGATAATTGCAGTTAACACCGGACTTTGACGGAGCTTTTCGGGAAACAATTTGTTGCTATTGAACTACCTGCAGATAATTTTATTAGCCACTAAATTTCCATCGTTTAAATCCAGCTCTGTTACTCCTACTACGAAATACTCTTCTGGTTAGTCAAGTCGTTCGCTTCTTGGTTGTCTCCCTCGCCGGTTCATCTGGTCTCGCTTTGGATGAAAACCTCCCTAGGGGTTACTCAAGTACTTTTGGAGGTAACTGTGTTTATCTGCTTCATTCCCATGTTGTGATAGGCATCAGGAGCCTTAGCACTAAATTCCAGCCGTCTTAGATAAGTTTTCTTTCCATATTATTTGTGCTTAATAGTTCAATGCAATAGCCTCCTAAAGCTCTCATACTAAAATTTAATAGCGATTATATATACGTAGTTGTTTACTTAGGCTGTGTTACTTAGGCTGTGTTGTTTACTTAGGCAGACGGCTGCGTAAAGGCGTAGTCATAAGGGCATAAAATACGGGAATTCCGTTCACACTTGTGAAAAAGGGGTGTAAGCCGTGGCCAATGAGAGAAGCTAAATTTGCGCATGCGTGGATGTATCTACAACTTTCTCGCGCTGTTCTCCTGCTCGATTGATTTTCCTCGTTCGCTCTGCTTGTTTTGTGACAGCGAAATCTTCTGTAGAACGCCGCTTCGTTTTTAGCTTCGCTCTGATTGGTCGACGCTTTGTCAACTTAATATCTACTCCTAGTCTACTTTTTTTAATATCTACTTAATGTCTACTTATTGCTACTTAATGTCTACTTCTAGTAGTGTATTATCATGGTGTTAGAATAATTTATTTAAATTTTATTCTTGTTTGTGCTGAGGCGTGAGCTTAATAGTTCTTGAGGAAATTAACCGGTTGACCAGGATAATTGAATGCAAGAATATTTTTACATAAAAGTGCAATGAATATTAATAATGCGAGATTTATTTTAGTCTCTTGTCAGTTAGTGTAAGGGCAATATTTATATCTTTTTCTGTTAATTTTATCTGAGGAAAATATATATATCAATACAATTACTATTTCACTAAATTTTTATATGTATTTTATATAACAAACTATAATATGCTGGGTTTGTGTAATGACATCAACTCTGTAGTCTTAAAGGAATATATTATTATTACTGTAAATATGCAGAATTCATCTAGAATCTATATCCCGAATAAGTTACTTGAACTATAGGTTGGTTAAAATGATTTAAATTAAAGAATTCTGTTGATTAATATGTTTATTGTTAATATGTTTATTTCCTACCTCTCGGGAGTGTGTAGCGCTTGTAAACTAACATTTTCATTGATAACTAATAATAAATAACTCGGATTTAAAATTACAGGGGTATGTGTTTGATTTTAATGTACGTTTATTGGCCCACTTTAACTCTTACAATCCTGGGTTGTTTACGTTAAAAACACAATGCAATCTCAATTAATTTTTTTCTAAATTTGAAATTCATGAAATGATCTATTTTTTTAGGAGCGCTCTACCCAGTTATTATTTAAATTGGTGAAAGGATTTATTCTGGCTTTTGAATTTATTAACTTTGAAGCTTAATGGAGATCTTGCTGATATAATTGTTAATTGTTTTAAATTTAAATTCCGCGATTTAACAATTTGTGCCTAGTTATCAACCACGTAGTTTTTTGTACCAACAAATTTTGGGTACCATCCTTTTCCGTTACGGAACAACAGTATATATAAAAAAAGTTTTCTTTTTCTGTTGAAAAGTCTGGACTACACGGATAGCGGAGGTAATCGATGTATACCTCCACTCCAGCTCAAATAAATCCTAGTGTGAATGACCCTTAACGAAATATGAAATTTATTACCACTTATTAACTGTATATATGAGGAAGGAAAATTTCAAATGTCTGTTTTAGATCAGTTTAAAGGATCTTTCACACCATAGTTTATCTGAGCTAATGGAGATGTCTGACACAGATGACATAGCTCCACGATACATAAAAAAAAAAGCTTTTTCTTCAGTTGAGAAATCGGAATTTCATGTACAGCGGATATCGTCGATGCATGGAGCCGACTCCGCTAGCTCGGGTAATCTCCATTGTAAACGGGCCCACCAGCGGCCGAGCGGTAAAGCCGCTGAACACCGGTAGTTCGGTCCGAGGTTCGAATCCCGCGAACGGGCTGGCTGCATGGGCAGTTTCGTGGTTTTCCCCATGTGTAACGTGTATACGAGCCAGTTTCCCTTAGAAAGTCCTCCACGAAAGGCATCCCTCCTCTTAGGCGAGATAGCCCTCGTGTGTTTTGCCATAATTAAATACACCAAATACGCCATTGTAAACGCTCCGTAAGTAATATAAGTTTTTTATATATCAAGCCTTTATTAAAAATTTATAAAATCGTGAATGGAATAAAATAAGAAAACAATTTATCATAAAGTTTGATAAAAACACGAGATTAAAATAGATTTGTTTACAAAAATTCATCTACAATTCATACAATGAATAAAAAAAGCCTGGAGGACACGTGATAAATTTGTAAAAGCTTATACTTTTGAGAATACGATCCGATTATTCGGATTTTTTATTCAAGTCATTATGCATTTATTATTCGTGATATAAAATTTTTGATGATTTTGTAACGAAGCTTATTTAGTCTCTTATTCCCATTATACTGTATGATAAACTAGTTTTGTTCTTTTGGTTTACTAATGATTTTTATAAGATTTTAATTAAAACTTATTTTATAAAAACATTTTTTTTAAATTTTTTTTTTTTTTAATTTTTTTTTTTTTTTTTTTTTTTTTTAAATTTTCATCCCTTTACCCTTAACGACAAAATATCAGTCAAATTATTTCAATTGAGAAGTCACTTTTTAACTCTGAATAATGAATTTTCCTCTTTGCATTTTAAATTCCTTGTACGAAGTAAAAAGGAAATATTGTAATCACGAAAAGTTTCAGGCACCAGATATCCATTTTTACCGCTATCGAATGCGATTTAAATATGTTTTTGTGTGCATCTGTACGTAAAGACAGAATAAAGGATTCCCCCCCCCCAAAAAAAAAATTCTAAAAATAATTTAAAATGTATTCTGAAGAGAATTTTTCGTGGTTTCTGTACGTACGTATGTATGTATCTCGCAAAGCTGAAAAACCAGTAACCTCAGATCATTGAAATTTTGTATACAGGGACTGCTATAACATGTAGATATGTATCTAGTATTTTGGTTGCAATCGGCCGCACCAAAAGTTTATAAATATATGTATCTATATATATATATCCACTTTGTTACTCGGCTCAGTGATCTCAGTTTCTTTATTCTTATATGTTTGTAAATTGTGCATTTTTTGCTTTAAAAATGATTGAATTATGTTTTTTTTACCTTCCGGTTAAGGTTTTTATGCCTTTAGTAAATCTGTATGCAATATTTTTAGAAATATCAACAATTTAAAAGTTGTTTACGTGCAGCTAAGCCTAATTATTTTTGCCATGGCGGCCATTGCTTGTTTACATTTGAAAGATCAGAATAGTAGATTTGTTGCCAATCTAGAGAAAGTAAGCTTCGCAATAACAAAGATAACGCCTTCTTTCATTATTGCGAATTAAATCATGCTTAATCCATTCTGGAATTTATTCGAGGAAATAAGTGTTTAAGATTTACTTCATAATTTTCAATACAGATATTTTGAGATTTTATGTACTTTTTGCCTTGTAGCGAATTGAGAACTGAATTAAGAAATACTGAATCACTGTGAAAAACTGTTTCTTTTTGTTGTTGTTATCGTTTTTTGCTTAATTTCTTTTATACATCGTTTTGGATTTATTATGGTATTTGAAAAGAACATGTGGCAACGATTAGATAATTCTTCAGGTGATATAAATTGTGTGCATTCTGAGTTAAAAAATGAACGAAATGTAACGCTGTTAAGTGAACCTAGGGCCAGATTGTCGCTATGGTAAACAAATATAGTGAATTTTAAAGAGTGCTTTTATTGTATTGTGGTTTATGCGCTATTGACAAAGTAGATTTAATTTAATCCAATAAGTTTAAATGAAATGCGAAAAAAAATGCGTATAATTTAACATCAGATTTTTTATTGAAACAAATGGTTGAACAAATCTGGCGATTTTCGAAAATCGTTGCGAAATCAGAAATTACATTAAAAATTTCATTCAAAAGAATTTTTCTTGCTTTACCCGATAACGTGAACAGGAAAAATTTTGACACATTTAGTTCGTTCATTAAAAGAGGGGTGAAAAATTGTTTCATAACGAAATTTTTAAAAATCTAAATCATATTTTAAAAGAACGGCGGCACCACATTGTATTGTCATCCAAAATAAGTTTGTGTGCAGGTTTTGTTAGATAGTTTATCAGGGTATCAAATTTTTGTTCATTGTGATTTCAAGTTAAATGGAACCTTGTATAAGTTTTTATTGACAGAATAGCGTTGGTATAAAAACCTGGCTGGCTAAGAGAATTAACAAAACCCAATCAGAAAGTAGAAAGTAATTTGATCTTCTGCAGTGGTAGCGTTGCACCGTCTGTCGATTCTAGGTTATCTAATAGTTCTTGGGATAAGAGTTCAAATTCTTCAAAGATCATCTGGGGAGCGAGCTACCCATTCCTTTCTGTGAATATATTTACTTTCCAGGACCTCCTCAAAAGCTTGACTCATATATGGCCGTGCATTTTATTCATAAAAGCAATGTCGAGACCAATGGCATCTAGGAAAAGACGCAGAGGGAGTAGGATAACATCATCATCTCCGGTAAGTGAACATCTGTCGAAAATGTGAAGCTTCGTCCATCTTTTCATCATAATACCTCCCCAAACAGGTACTCCAGTACCAGTCTGCCAGTCTCTTTTTCTCATGTTAGGGGGGATGAAAGCGTATCCCTACCTCTCTCAATGTAAAATGACGTTGAGAATAGTTATTTAAAGCTGCAACGACTCTCATCCCTGAAGGGGACATGACTCCATTAATGAGGCGTCCAGTCATTGTTTCTGTATATTACTGTAGACGGTGCCGCCGATGGTCTGCTGTCAGTAGGATGCAGTGTTAAGAACGAGGAACGAATAGGCCATCTTTACGAAGTTGTCAGACCACAGTAAACGGGAATGTCCTGTCCTCCGATAGCTGTGCACAAGTGCTGAGCTACGTTGGCCGCTTTCGATCTATTTTCGCCTGTAGGGCCATGTATTGATCCTCCATCAGCTTCCGTCCGTCATCTGAAAGGTTTTTCCAATTTCGCGAAACAATAGCTTTATCAGTTCCATAATTTTGAGCAACAGGTATCAAACTATGCTCCTCTCTCAAGCCCGCCAATCCTTCTACCATGTGTAAAAAGGCGTCCTGGTGTTTTCTCGTGCCATATTACGCGTACGATCTCACATTCAACCTGTAAGTGGCTTCTTACTTCCGAAGCTGATTCCTTGCCTTATGCGTGCCAAGAGAGTAACATCAGAGATTTTGGTTTATGATATTTGCTATGCATTAGATTTCTCCTGATTTGGCTTTTGATTGTACTGATAATAAGAACCCTTTTAAACAACTCCGTGATTGTGTGTTGAAAAATTAATTTTTTGATTAAATTTTACTCACTAGTGTAATAAACTACCTGAACTTTAAAGTTTGAACTTATGTAGAGGAAAATTTCGACTTATTTTCGTCAATAATTTAAAACATGATTTCTTCCACGAAAGCTAATTACATTTTGAGAAGGTACTCACTTTAAGTGAAATGCAATAAATCGCCATTTTTTCAAATGTTTGCATGGTCCAGAAATTTTAAAATTAAAAATGTCTTCACACCTGCCTTTTTGGTATTGTCAGGTGGGATATTTGTTTTTAAAACATGGATAAGTTCAATTCTTCTGGTTAAGATAAGCTCAGATTAAGATTCTCAGATTCTACTGAAATTTTCTTTAAATTGTACTGCACAATATTTTAAGAAATGGACATTAATTGACAAATTTAAAGCGATAGTTATATATTTTTTCTAGCTACGTATATTCTGTCAAACTTCTTCATGTTATTAATATATTATTATTTCGAACAGATTTCTACACATTCCAGTTTCTTACCGGAAACACTCCTCGAGTTTCAACAGAAGGCAAAAGATTTCTTTGATTTTGAGCAGGAACACGTAATCAGGTTTTGCATTTTCATTTTCTCATTTACTTTGTTATGACAGTAATTGCAAAATTAATATGTTCTGTATTTTTATATTAGATGCTTACACATCACGAGAATAATTTTATATTTTATAAAAATAATGCTTATTTTGTCTTTTGGAAGCTTTCTCTCGGTTTTTTAATGTGTTTCCAATCATATACTTTATTACGAATATAGAAGCTGAAAATAAAGGTTGCGGATCATTTCCATTATAAGATAAAACTTATCAGATTTTCTTTCCAAAGCTAGGATCGTCAACATAACACATAAAGCAAGAAATCATCGAGATTCTCTTAAAAGATTTTTTAATCATGAAAAATATTATCTTAGTTAATTATTTCAACAAATGGAAGAAGCAATAGAATGACACATAGTATAGTAAACTATTTTATTAGCAGTATTTACTTTGAAAACAAGGCATTGTTATAAGAGGTTAGGACTTGATATATAATTTAAGGATGGCTATATCGGAAAATCGGGCAAATGCATATGTATGTACGGAAAATTATTCAGACCATCTTCTTTGGAAAAGATAATATTCAAAATTATTATTGTAACTAAGATGATTATCAGATAAGGTAGAGGGACAAAAGTTAACCATGCACTAGTAGTTGACAATTTCAGGGGAAAAACTTCAAAATAAGGGATATTTTGGGTTGGAGTTCGTGCAAACCTGCATATAAGACGCTGCTGCCGTCTAGTATCACATTTTATCAACTGCCAGTTGATATGCCTATCAGTTAAGTAATGGCTGACAGGGAAATTTGTGCTCTCCCAGATCCTGCTAATTCTTGCCGCCTGATTACCATTTTCGGTTATTGATTGATTTCGGTTTTTGTGTAAGTACAGTTATTTATTTGTATTTTTCAATTCGGCAATCAAATATTTATTAATGCATGTATTATTGAACAAAATGACGCGTGAGTTATGTGGTTTATTCTTTATTTTTAGGTGGTCAACTACTGGAGAAGAAACTTTTTTTCTAAATTATTTATAATAATTTTATATTACAACTTTTTTCAGCTAAAAAAGGTCATCACTAGCTAGGTAGGCAGTTGAAAAATTCCGTTCAAAAAAAAAAACAAAAAAAAAAAAAAACATAAAAAAAAAAAAAAGAAAAAAAAAAAAAAATAAAAAAAAAAAAAAAAAAAAAAAAAAAAAAAAAAAATAAAAAAAAAAAAATAAAAAAAAAAAAAAAAAAAACAAAAAAAAAAAAAAAAAGAAAAAAAAAAAAAAAAGAAAAAAAAAAAAAAAAAAAAAAAAAAAAAAATAAAAAAAAAAAAAAAAAAAAAAAAAAAAAAAAAAAAAAAAAAAAAAAAAAAAAAAAAAAAAAAAAAAAAAAAAAAAAAAAAAAAAAAAAATAAAAAAAAAAAAAAAAAAACAAAAAAAAAAAAAAAAAAAAACAAAAAAAAAAAAAAAAAAAAAAAAAAAAAAAAAAAAAAAAAAAAAAAAAAAAAAAAAAAAAAAAAAAAAAAACAAAAAAAAAAAAAAATAAAAAAAAAAAAAAAAAAAAAAAAAAAAAAAAAAAACAAAAAAAAAAAAAAAAAAAAAAAAAAAAAAAAAAAAAAAAAAAAAAAAAATTAATTACTGTCTCCACAGCTAATACTGTTGACAAGTGAATGAGAAATTTCCTTTAGCTGGTCAACTACTGGTGCCTTTACCTTACATATAATTTATATTTATGCCGTATAAAGCAATATGTACACTATCGTAAACGAAATGAACGCGCATATAGTTTGTGTTTGTAGCTCATGGAAAATTAACAGTAAAGCAACTGTTTAATCAAATACTAGAAAACAGCCTCCATTTTCTGCAGTGCCGCCCTAGCGGACGATTTAAAAAAAAACCTAACAACTCACCATTAGATCGAGTTTCGGTGGATTTGTGCACGGATATAACTTTTTCCGTTGTCCTCGAGTAAATTTCTTTATATTACTTTTATTAATTTTCTCCCGTATTTCTTTTATTGTTTTATTCTTTTATGTTTCCATTAATTTTTTTTTTGTTAAATGTACGAAGTTTATATTAAAATTCAAAATTTCTCAGTTACTTAAAGTTTTTGGCTAGTCGGCAAAACAAAGCTACGTAAAGGTGGAACTCTAAAATTTAAAACTACTCAAAAATGAAAAGTCATGCTTCTTACAGCAACACAAGCTCATTTGTTTCTTCTAGCTTTTCCTGTGTTAAAGGAACCTCTGGTGATACAAAAATTTTTGATTTTTGCCAAGCCGGTAATAAGTAGCCACTCTCGCATGTGAAGCATTTATCCAATGCCCTTGGTTTTATTGTAAATCAATTACGCAGTTATTAGAAGATTTGTTTTACGTGAAGTTTAATTGTTTAACAGTTTATCATGAAGTGAAAGTGTATTTAATTTTGTAAATATTTAAGTATTAAAGAAAAGAATACTAAGTTATATTAGAGACTTTTGAACTATTAAAAATAATTTTACGTAAATTTATTTCGAGATTTAGACAAAAATGCCAAAAGGACCTTAAAATACTACCTATAGGGCTTGAAGAACAATATACCTACCTATAGGGCTTGAAGTTACAGATAACATAAAAGTCGTTCAGCTGTGGCATCTGATAACGAAAACTAAAACTTATGATGAATAATTTATAAATAATATGTTAAATATCATTACTGATAAACGCGTAGCAGCCGGAAAAGGAGTAGAAAGGCTCCAATTGATTGAAAACCAAGCAAATGAAGACATGGCTAAAACAGAAGCAGAAGAATAAAGATTAACAAATGAATGCATATTTGAATTGATAAAATTAAACTTTGAGCTAGAAGTTAATAGAATATGCCAAAGGAATCTCTTTCTCAAGACTTGGAAGAGCTAATTTTGAATTGAGTCATACGCTTCCAAAACTTAACCCAAAGAATGATCAGATAGGGCATTATCTGATAGTGTTTGAACGTCAATTGAAGTTCATAAATATGCCTGGAATTAATTGGACCATTAGCTCCTGAGATAAATCAATTATTTGTTAGAGAAAACGAGGAAGCTTGTAAAGATAATGCAAAAATAAAAGTTAGGCTATAGGGCTTGAAGAACGAAACCTATCAGCTGTGAGTCTTATGTGATTTAAACATAAGACTCACAGCTGATAGGTTTCGACAGCTGTTTTCTCAACACAGAAAATTTGCAGAAATTTCATAGAAAAGTTTTGCGTTTGAATTTAAATCTTATTTTGAAAGATGGGTCAAAGAACTGAATATCTCTAGTTTCGAGCAATTACGAGACTTGCAACTCACCTGAAGAAAAGAGCAGCTCTGGATATGAAACAACATTTTGTGACATTTAAAAAATATGGATAATCTGTTGGAAGTGAAAAAAAGTTCGATTGCTAAGAAAATGTGAGACTTAGAAAATGCACCGTAAAGTACAAAAAAACAAATTTTAAAGAAAGTGTTAAATGTTTTCCAGAAAGACAATTTCATGCATCAAAACGTTAATCATATTACGAATGCAAGGTTTGACAATACTAAATTTACTAATTCCAGTCAAGAATGGAAATTTCTTATTCATTGCTATGGTCGCTAACATTCTGGTTTCATACAATCAAAGTACTCTGAGAGTAATAAGAGTTCAAAGATGAAACTAAACTGTTGTCAATTGTGTAAAATAGTATGTAGCTAAATCCTCCGATTTACTGACCAGCTTCATTTTTAACTGGTTTTGGAGAAAGATAAATTTTTTGTGCCGGTACAAAAGCATCGCGTTCCACAAAATACACGATCACACAAATTCAGACACAAAATATTACGATGGTACTAGCAAATGGCAAGAAAAGAAATGCCCAAGCTTTGACTATGATTCTAAATCATAATGTTGAAGGGAAGTATGAACGTAAGAAAATTATTGCTTCAGACGTTATTCGGAACTGATTTTCTACAAGCTACGGCAACAGTGCAGAACATCCAGAGTTGGAACTTTGGTATTTTAGTGAAAACTCACAGAAGCAGTATCCCCTTTACAAGTCTGAAACTACAGTGACTCCAAACGCAATAAGATCTTGGAAAGTAATATCTTCAGAAAAAACAGAGTTCCCTGACACTTCTGTTCAAATGATGGGAACAGCTAATTCTGTAAAGTTGAGAGATGGTGAAGGAGAAGATTTCGCGAGAGAACAAAGGATAAATTAAACTCATTGTTAGAAGAGTATGGAACTAGCTTTCAGTCAGAGGAAGATTCCACTCCTTATATTGAACACAAAATACAGAGTGGAAATAGTTTACTTGTTGCCGAATCACCATATAGAATAACACCTACGAAGAAAGAGTTGTTGAAAACGGAGCTAGGTTCGTTACTAGCTCCGGATATCATTGAGGAATGTGAATCAAATTATGACAGACCAGCAGTGTTGTTCCTTAAATTTAGTAGTTCTATCAGACTCTGTATAGATTATCGGAAGCTAAACTCAAAAACTATTCCAGGTACCTATCCACTACCCAGAATGATTTTTGCTAACTGAAGCCAAATCAACGAAGTGGATATCTGCACAACAGAAAGTTATCATCAAGTTCATGAAGGAGATTAAGAGAATACTGCCTTTGTTTATCCATTTGCTACCTTAAATTTTTGCGCAACGCGCCTTCAATTTTGAACGATTTATTGAGAAACTTAGATCAATTTTAAAAGATTTTTTTTACATTGCTATACCTCGGCGATATCATAATGTTGAAACCTTTGACGAATATTTCTCAGATTTGAGAAATTGTTTGAAAGATTTCTATGTTTAAACTAAATGCGAACAGTAGCAAATGCCATTTTGCTTGTGTTAAAGTAAAGCATCTAGGTCACTGGATTACAGATGAAAGTATAGAATTAGATGCCGACAAATTATCTTCAATTCAGAAAATACTAAACCAACAGGCGTAGAGTTGGTTCAGCCTTTTCTGCAGACTTATTCCTGGTTGCGAAGGTATGTCCCTAAAGTTTCAGAAGCTGCTAATCCTTTTAGTGACTT